TAAGTAAGTTACTACTTATCCTCAGCTTTTTTCATTTGTGAAATGAATGGTACTAACAATGTCAAGATAAAGGATATTGTCTCAGTCCATTTGGACTGCTATACCAAAATACCATAAACTGGGTGGTTTATAAACAACAGAAATTTATTTCTCACAGTTCTGAGCCTGGGAAGTTCAAAATTAAGGAACTGGAAAATGTGGTTGGTGGTCTTTTAGTGTCCTCAGACACTAAAAGGGGCAAGACAGGCTCTGGGGCCTCTTTTATTAGGACATAAAACTCAATCATGACAGCAGAGCCCTCCTGACCTAATCACTCCCAAAGGCCCTGCTTCCTAGTCCATTGGAAATTAGGTTTCAACATAGGATTTGGAGGAAAAGGGGGCACCTTCAGACCTTAACAGATATAAACTGGCTTTGTTCACTAAAATTCTGTGCAACTATGGGGAATTATAATAGAAAAGGGGAAGGGCAAGGACCAAGGAGAGAGTGTGGCTGACTGGATAACTTATTCTCACTGTAGAAATCAGTACCTAAGGCATCTGTATGCATGTGTAGTCTTGCCCATTCCTGTTTTCGGAGTCAAGCAAACCTGGGTTCCACTCTGGCTTTGCTCTCTTAACCAATTCCTTTGCCTCTGAGCCCATCTGAGCTTCCCTGTCTCAAATACCTCTTCATGGGGCTGTTGTGAGGATGAGATAGAGGTATGCATAGTTTCTAACACTTGGCTGGCATTCAGTAATTAGGGTCTGTTCTTTCTGTGCTGTCTCTCTTAGGATCTCATTTACCTAAACTTCAGGGGTGGAGTTACCTTTTAGGGACTTTTTACTTTTACAAAGTCCAGCCTTGGCTCCTATGGTTCAAACTACATTTTCCATTTGAAATGTTTCAACTGGGAACGATGAATTTGTTTTTGCCAAATTTCTTCTGTTATTATTAGCTTTGAAAAGGAAGCCCATCCCTTTGAGCTGTAAATTGCATTTCAAAGCCTAATGTCCTTGGTGGGTTTTAATTAGCTTGAGGGCTCAGCTTTTATGTAGCATTTGTTTCTCCTATAGGTAAGGTGAAGACATTTATTTGGAGCTAGTCTCCAATTTTCTCAAACAGCATTTTTGGCGGCGCCTGTGGCTCAATGACTAGGGCGCCAGTCCCATATACCCAGGGTGGCGGGTTCAAACTCAGCCCCTGCCAAACTGCAACAAAAAATAGCCGGGCATTGTGGCAGGCACCTGTGGTCCCAGCTACTTGGGAGGCTGAGACAAGAGAATCACCTAAGCCCAAGAGCTGGAGGTTGCTGTGAGCTATGACACCACAGTACTCTACCAAGGGTGACAAAGTGAGACTCTGTCTCTTTAAAAAAAAAAAAAACCACTGCATTTTCTTGAGATGCTATGCCTTCTCCCAGTACCTCAATTTCTTGGAGACCAATCTCTCAGACCAAAAGGAAAATGAAGACTAGACTTAGAGTCTGAGGACCCATGGGTAAAACTACCTGTGGCATCCTGGCTATAGTCCTTTCCCTCTGTTCTTCAGAGTGAAGGCATATAAACTCCATGATCACTAAAGTCCCTGCTAATCTGACATTGTAGAAATCTCTAGGGGACAAATCTGGTTCTCTCTTCCCACTCCATCTCCCCATCCCTCTGCCCACCACTCATCAGATCATTCATTGCTAAACTCAGGGCCTCCAGGGTATAGACACCTTGCTCTCAATTATGTGGCTAATCTGTGAGGCAGAGCTTGGGAGATGGGGCAGGGAGATAGTTTAGCAAGTCAAGGAGCTTCTATTGAATAGGATGTCAGTATTTTTTCTTAGGGATTCCACTCTAAGCCAGGGAGAAACCTTGAAAAGCTTAGAGAAAGAATTGGGTCAGAAGGATTGAATTGGGGATGGTTGGTCTGTGGAGGTGGGTGTTTGGGTAAGAGCTTAGAAAAAGGTGCCTGGGATCTCTGCCCTTAGTGGTCTGTACCACTTAAGGTAGTCCACAACTAGACCCTGCCCTACTTTCTGGGGCATGCATATCCTTAGTACTTCTTCCTAACACTTATTGAGCATTCACTGTGTCCCAGGCTTTATCAGGCCTGCCCTTTTACATTTGCAGGGCAGAGTGAAAGCACAAACAGAGACCCATGCACCATAAGTCTAAACATTTGAATGTTATAAGTGAAGCCAACAAACTATGATATTGTAATACCATATCTAAATTTAGAATTCTTCAACTCTTTGGGATTCTGCACCTGAGCCTAGCAGTTCAAGGAGACCTAGTCTGGGCCCACCTCTTTTTCATTTCCCACCTTCAGTTCCATCCCTCACTTCTAGGAGCCTCATGAATGTGCATGGTTATTCAAGCCTTTCTTCACCCCCACAGATACTTACCCCTTGGACTTAGTGACTATATAACAGAATAGCTTTCCCTCCAGAGGAGTGTGCAGGCCTTGAAAAGTGAGGGTGATGTAGGGCTGTTTAGATAAGTAGTTCAACAAGGGTTGGGTATCTTCTGTAGGTGTGCATTGCTCCTTGGCACTGCAAATTTCTCATCCAGAGTGACCACATAAACTTCCTTAGTCTCTTCTCTACAGATGAGAAAACCAATCTTCATGGGCCATTGCTTCTGGCTGCCCCCTCCCTGGCATCATACAGAGTGTGCCAGTCTGACTTGATCTTTATCTAGAATGGGCCCATAAAAGCAGTGTTAGGACAGAGAAGTGCTTGTAGCCAGAGAGATCCTTTTATATACATTGCCCCAGGCCCCAAGTGATTAGAGAAGAGACTGGTAGGGCCAAACCTGAATGACTTTGCTTACCAGTCAAGGAGCAAGTTGCTGATCTTGCCACAGTACCAAGCATATATACTCAGCACGTGCTTCCTGCTCAGTGATATTAGAGGCTTCTGGCAAGAGATCTGAGGTAAGAGACACAACTATTATGTCTCTGCCAGGTCAGTGGTAGACCCAGCAGTCATCAGCAGATCTGTGAACCATCATTTCTTGCTCTCTTGCTATCTCTGTCCACATCCCAGGCTTGATTGGCTTCCTTCCGCCAAAGCATGTGGCTTTTTTCTGAGCCAAAACTTCATAGCTGTGAGCTGAACCACCCAGGAAATAGTCATCTGATACCCACAAAGGAGTCCCATAAACTTCTTATATACCCATGAATGTACAAGGAATTAACCCTTGAATGGCTTGTCATCCAGGTAGGAGAGGACTATCAGATCTATGAGGAATGGGGCGCCCAAGGAGACCAAGAAATATCGAGCATTTCTGCTCCATACTACAGTGTGTTAGGTGTTTTGGGAGGAGTTTATTTCCCTTATGTCCCTTACTGCTTAGTAAATGTTGATAATTAGATACAAAAATAATGCTTAGTAAATGTTGATAATTAGATACAAAAATAAAAATAAACTTAGTAATATGTATCTCTCCCAAATCCTGTCCAAAGCTGGCACCAGCCCCATCATCATTACCAGTGATGGCACTCTCTCAGCCTCCTTTCTTTGTCTAGGAGGGTGCATTCCTGACCCCAGTGTGTTCAGTGAGCTTACTGCAAGCCCAACCTCAGGAACTATTTCTTCCCCAGAATCATTCTTTGGGCTGGCCTGTCACTTCCTGGTAAACAGTGCCACCTGCTGGTCTGTTCACGTGAATATACCAGCTTCTGGGGTGGGACAATTTAGGAAAAAGGGTCTCTCAATCTCTTAGTGGGATAAAAGGTATAGATTTTGCTTCTTCAGTTCACTGAAAAGAAGCACCTTCTGCCCCAAAATATTTGTAAATAGCTGGTAGGCTGATGATAACTTCTATACATGCTGGTTGGGGTCTTTAGCACCTTCTGAAATGGCCCTAAATAGGGTAGGGTTTTGAGATAGGAGGGAGTCGCACCAACCCATGCCAATGAGCAGAAGACTGGTTCAGGAGGTATAAATGCCAAGGCTTAACTTTAGGCCTTTTCTACTGAAATTAAGACTTCTCTCCCCTTTCACCTTAGAGCCTGCGCCCAAGTATAACCTGTCCAGAGATGGAGTAGAAAAAATTTGTAGTGCTCGTTGGGGGTAAAAGACATTCTCAGAGCACAGAGAACAAAGAATAGATACAGTCTCATTGCTAAGCCAAACAGAATAAAATTTGAATGAGTAAGTCTAAAAGTGGGTAATTATTATAAAATTAATTTACTGAAAATAATTCTCAGATAAATATGCTGACTTATTATAGTACTTAAATTTTAGCTCCAGAAAGTAGATTGATAACATTGAAATAAATGGGCTTTAGGGACAGACTGACCTCTGGTTGAATACCCATTACTGGCAAATTAATGAATTTAGTTTCCAGTAAAATATGAGTAATGATGCTAACACTCATTGTGGAATCTTGAGATTATCCCATAGTGTATGCCACTCTTAGCCCATAGTGAATATTTAGAGAGGCTTAATTAGTATACCTTCTTTGAAATAGCTGGTACCAATAAAGAAACAATTAAGCCCATTGGATTGGGCAATTTTCATAGTATGGAATTGTCCCGGAGTAAGTATTACTTGCAATTACCATGTGACCCCTTAGAAGGAACAGTAGAAAAGCTGCAAAAGATCTTCAAATTTGGATCCAGAATGGGGTAGTATTTAAGATGAGCATTGAAGGAGTATACTCAAACAAATTGAAGTCAAGCAGTCCAGGTTCAAATCTCAGCCCTGCCATTCACCAGCATTGTGACCTCTCTGAATGTGAGATTCCTCCCTTATAAAGTGTTAAGGCTCTTGGCCCTTGTGTGAGTACCAAATGAGGAAACATATGTAAGGCACCTGGCATGAGATCAGTAGACAGTATGTGACAACTCTTGGTAATATAACAAGAAAAAAAGATGTAGTAAACAAGATGCAGAAACAGGGAGGCTGGATGCAGTAGGGTGTACGTGTGCTGGAAGGCAAGAAGCAACTAGTTTTTCAGAATGTGGGTCTTGGGCAACCACCCAGCTTAGGGACCCAGCTTTACAGAGATTCTCTTTCTCTTCAGGTGGCCACCATGTCCTTGAAGATCCAGACAAGCAATGTGACCAACAAGAATGACCCCAAATCCATCAACTCTCGGGTCTTCATTGGAAATCTCAACACAACTGTGGTGAAGAAGTCAGATGTGGAGACCATATTCTCCAAGTATGGCCGTGTGGCCGGCTGTTCTGTGCACAAGGGCTATGCCTTTGTCCAGTATGCCAATGAGCGCCATGCCCGGGCAGCTGTGCTGGGAGAGAATGGGCGGGTGCTGGCCGGGCAGACCCTGGGTAAGCCTCTCTCCACAGTATTTTAGTGTTCCCCAGGGTAGTTGCTATCCTTCCTTCACGCTTCCGATTTCCCTCTACCTCCCCTCAGTACCACTGCTCTGAGGTTTTGTAAATTAAATAAGCTATCTATACTTATTATAAATTAAGTGATAAAATTGATAACTATAGGGGAGAATTTTAGAAGCTCCTGGAAAATACTTCTGTCCCTGCTTTCTTGGTGCTCCTAAATGACAGACTTTAGGGCTCCAGTTAAAATGCAGAATCCCCTGAGAAATGAGACAGAATAGACTAGCATAGCCTGTTACATTGGGCTACAGATGACTTAGGTTAGAACACTTTCTGAGAGCTAGGAGGAGGAGTCTACCCTGGTCTTCTCGGAACATGTGCAGTGTGTGCACATAATTCTGTGTACATGTGTGTTTGAGAAAGGCTATATGTGTATTCCTGAATAAGAAGTATATGGATGTGACTGAATATGTGCACATATCTCTGTGTGTGTCAGAATATACTTGAGTGTAAAGCAGATACACACATACTCATTTACTAAATATTGAGATCTTATCATGTACTAAGCACTGTTCTAGGCATAGAGATGTTTAGTACAGTGTCCATTGAATGTGGCCATTTGCATATGGCCAGTTACGTGTATGATGTTGGAACTGAGTCTGAGTGTACTTGAGAGTGTATTTGTTTTCTGTATGTGTGTGACTTTCTTATGTGGGCACGTGAATTGTGAATGTGGGTATGTATGTTTATAGGTTGTTGTGTGCCTAACGTATGTGTTCATATGAATGTGAATGTGCTTAAGAATGCATATTTGTATGATATGGGGGGGGTGTGTGAGTGAGAGATGTTTGTGAGCATGTATTGATGTGTCTAAACGTACATAGACACATAAACAGGCATATCCATGTGATATCTGGGTATGAGTGTAATGTTTGAAGACTAGATGTCTGAAGACCTTTTTGGCTACATCAGCAAATAAAGTCCATGTGTCCATCATGTAAGCACATGAATTGTGTGTGTACGTGAGGTGATGTGTTTGTGAACATATTGCTGTCAAGCAGCATTCCGACTCTGCCTCCTCCCTTCACACAGACATCAACATGGCTGGAGAGCCCAAGCCCAACAGACCCAAGGGGCTAAAGAGAGCAGCATCTGCCATATACAGGTGGGGCGCTCTGTCTGTCTGGGTGGGATGGTCCCTCTTTCCAGAGTGAGTAAACTCTGGTACGATGATGTGCTGAACTTAGAACTTGGGGAGGAGTTTGGAGATGAGGGCCTGTGGAGAGTGGGCTGAGTGGCCATCCCTAAGCTCTGGCCCTCTCCCCTTTGTTTCCCCAGTGGCTACAGCTTTGACTATGATTACTACCGGGACGACTTCTACGACAGGTGAGCAGGGGAGGGGCGTGCCCAGGCATGAAACAGCCAAGCTGGAAGGGCTCTGAGAGATTTTTGGTACAGCCCATTCAGTTCTCCAAATGGAAATCAAAGCCCAGAATGACAGGCATTTGTCCAAGGTTCCTTCACAAGTCAGAGGCAGAGCTGGGTGTAGGGCTCAGTTTTGCAGGAGGCCAGAACTCCTATCATAATGCCACACGGACTCACTGGCTGCCCCTTTCCTCCTAGTTCTAGGGTAAGACTGGGAAAGGTACAGTCAAGGGCTGAATAAACATAGCCAGTTGGAATACACAGCAGGGTATGGCACTGGTTAGAGGGAATTTGAGCCTCATACTTCTGCTTTTCAGTTTCCTTCTTGTGTGAAGTGTCCAACCAACTGGAAGGAACTCCAGAGCACAGAGTGAGCCCCTCAATCCAACAACTATTTGGAGGCCTGAATTAGTCTCTGGTGGGCTGTGACCTACCCTTCACTCCCAAGCCCTAAGGCTGTGGGCTCCTACTCAGGTGGCACTAGTTACACTCTTGCATGGAAATCATAGTGGGGACCAGCCCAGACTTATTCCTCCCTGCACCAATCCACACACACACCCACCCACACCCACATCCAGGGGGCCCAGGAAGAAGAACCTCTCTGAGTCTTGTTTTTCTTACCTCAGGATGGTTTCAGGAAACAGTATGGTATGATGGAAAGTGCCCTAGCCTGGGAGTCAAAAGGTTTAGGTGCTAATCTCAACTCTGCTACTGGATGGATACATACATGACTTTGGGCAATTCCCCTTCCCAGTTTGTGAAATGGGCTTGCACCAAATGATCTCTCAGGGCTCCTCCAGCTCTGGGATTCTGTGGTTCAGTGATTCTGACCAAGGCCAGAGCCGCCCCTTCCCCTTGGGGGCAGAAATGCAGGGTCTGGGATAGAATTTATTCCCAGAGACTCTCCATCTCCAGCCATCCCCACCCCTAGGGCAAGAGCTCCTTGAATAAAGGAAGTATCAAAGAATGGGACATTGAAAGGCCCAGTGGTGGCAGGTTTCCTGGCTGATCAGGAAAGTACCCCCTAAGGCTGCAGATTCCTATAGAAATGTGGTAACAACCGGTGTATGTAGGAGACCCTTTTTAGCCTACTGAATTTCTGCCTGGTCAGGAAAAGATATCACCCCCTCCCCTAGTCCCTGGAAAGGACTGATGACTGCTGTGGGAAGGTAGCACACAGTCTGGAGCTCTGGGGTCTGATTGAACTGCCCAGCCTTGATCCCCTGGTAGGCTCCTGGCCTTTGTCTCTGAGGTGGAACAAGAAGGATGGGGTGATTAAGGAGTCCTAGAGTAAGGAAACAACAACTTTAGGGTCCAGCCTTGTCTCTGAGGTCATGGGCTCATGAGTTGAGGGTCTCGGTATCCTGACCTTTCACCTATCACACTTTTTAAAGCATGTTTTTAGCTAAATTCTTTATGCTCTACCCTCATAGCAAACTTGGGTAGATACTGAATTTGGGGTAGCCATCCTCATTGGGCATGTGGGGAAACAGGCTGAGGGATTGGCTTGTACTTCCATACCTCTCTATTTCCAGCTAGGGATTTGTGCAGCTTTGAAATTTATGAACTCTAACCACAGGTTGGATGGCAGTTAACTGAGCAGAAGCCGGGTCATGTTATAGCAGGCTTGGGTGTCAGAATGACTAGGGAAAGTGCCTTTGGGGGCTGGCCTCACTTTTGAAGGGCGCCCTCATGTTGAAGGGCGTGTCATTACTATCTGCTGCCTCATCTGCCCTTACCTCACCTAGCTGGTAGGAGAGGTGGATATAGGGAGGATCCAAAGAGCCATTAGGGTCTAGAAAGCCTTGCTTCTCACCCCAGGGCTTGTTGGGAACAGGCCAGGGTGTGTAGTGCAGGCCTCCCAGCCGCAGTACCCCTTAGTGGCCATGGGCCATACTGCATCCTCTGGCCCATTTTCCCTACAGGCTCTTTGACTACCGGGGCCGCCTGTCGCCTGTGCCAGTGCCCAGGGTAGTCCCTGTGAAACGACCCCGGGTCACAGTCCCTTTGGTCCGACGTGCCAAAAAAAACACGCCTGCTAATCTCTTTGCCCGCTCAGCCAAGATCAAGTGTGAGTAACTATACCTTCTTCCTTGATAATTTGTATTTTTATCATTAGCAAAATAATTAGCATCACATTTTTTTACATTGGACAATAGATAAAGGAACAAATCTCCCATAGTTCTGCAGCTCTAACATAACAAAGTGAGTATTTTCATCCATTTTTAAGAGGAAGAAGCTGACATTTGAGGAGGAGGGGTGTGGGTTGGACACGGAGAGACCAGTGCTGTGACATGGTGCCTAGTAAGGAGATGGTATCATTTTTCCTCTCTTATAAGGACAAAGACGGGTCTACATAGGCCCACTACTCCACATTCACTCCAGTGCGCGCGCACACACACACACACACACACTGCAATCAGACACCCAGGAAATCTCATGGCAAAAGACCTGCTTTTGTACACTTGGAAAGATAACCCCATCCCATAACATAAGCAAAGACAGTGTTCAGGGGTCAACAGAAGAGCACACCATGCACCTGTGTTCCTGTGCATCTTCAATGCCTTTCGGAGTTGGGAGCTCTGAGAAAAAGCGAGCCAGGTTCAGAAGTGTGGGCTAGTTACTGTAGGGATGGCCTCCAGGGAGTCTCAGTAGGAGACCTTTTCACTGACCAGGGAAAGAACCAGAAAAGAACTGTATTCCTATATGGTAGAACAGGGCTGAGGTTTTGTATGTAAGCTTTCAGCCCCTAGGTGACAGCCCTGTCCCCCTTCCTCCTAGTAAAGAGCAGTGAACTGCAGGCCATCAAGACAGAGCTGACACAGATCAAGTCTAATATTGATGCCCTGCTGGGCCGCTTGGAGCAGATTGCTGAGCAGCAAAAAGCCAATCCAGGTCAGTTCTTGAGGGGACAGGGCACAGGGCAGGGAGTGGGAGGGACAGGGCACAGGTAGAGGGGCTGCACTGGCCCTGCAGATCCTAGCCCACCTGGACCCACTACACTGAGGCCAGGTTTTGCTAAGGTGCCCCAGATTGAGTTGTATTTCCCTCTCTACTCCTTCTTCCTCAAGATGGCAAGAAGAAGGGCGACAGCAATGCTGGCAGTGGCGGTGGTGGCAGCGGCGGTGGCAGTGGCGGTGGCAGTGGCGGTGGTGGTTGCAGTGGCAGTGCTAATAGTGGCAGCGGCAACCGGCCACCAGCCCCCAAAGAGGACATACCTTCTGGAGTAGCCATGCCTCAGGGGGAAACACAGACTCGAGAGGAAGGCGAGGAGGAGGGGCTGCTGACACATAGTGAGGAAGAGCTGGTGAGGGCCTGGCCAGGGGCATGGCTGGAAGGGGTGGAACTGGACTTCGCATTCCTTGTCTCGGGAGGACAGCTGGGCAGAGAGAACCTTTGAACTGGTTGGCCTCCCCGTGGGCTCCTTCCTCCTTCTCAAGGGTTCTAGTCCTACTAAGAAGAGGGAAGAAAGAATAGGTGGCAGCTGCCCATTTCAGACAATAGAAGCCCCACTGAAGACTGGGGCAGACCCAAGCCAGGATCCATTCTGGCCTCCACTCTCCCAGGTTGGAAAAAGGGAAAATCAGCCAGGGGGAACAGCACATGGTCTCCAGAGTTCCAGAGAGCAGGACTGGAGTTGCCTGGGGAAGCCACAGGGAGGTGCGTGTTACCTCCACAGAGGATTTGCCAAAACCATTGCTGACCTCTTTGCCTACTTGTCCTGGCAATGGAGGCCTGTTTGCTATTTATGGCAAATTTATCTTAACATTACAAGCTTTCTTACTCTTCAGCCTGTCTTTCTCTTCCTCAATAAACTTTGTTTGCTTGCCTTAAAAAAAATCTGTTGTTCACTCGCTACTCACTTATTGAAGGAATAATGAGCATCATGCCCTATAGTTCCTATATTCTAACTTCATTTAACTTTTAACAGCAGTCTTGTGCTATACAAAGGTATAGCACATTTTACCCCATGAAGAAACTGAGGCTCAGAAGGATGGAGTAGCTTGCTCAGGGCCTTGTGGCTAATAAGACTGACCCAAGATTGTAGCTAACTTCTTTACTGGGTCTGGAACATTCTCCTTTTCATCACTGCCAGGTTCCAGCATGAAGACAGATGGGCTCATGGCCAGGACAGTCAAGGAGTCTTCTTCATGCTTGCTCACATTTCCTCCTTTGAACCTAGCCTGATGCTTCATCTTACTCTCTTGGGCATAGTAGCCTTCATAAAGCATGCCTTCCCCCTCCAATCTATAAGTTTGCCAATCTATACTGCTCAAGCCTTCCCTAATCCAAGCTCATCTATGTATAGAAATGTGTCCCCTGCCGTTCCCATAGCTCTCTTGGCTGGCACTTTCTCCTATGGGGCCCTCTCAAGATCCCATGGCAGCCTTATTGTCTGGTCCCATAGTCATTCCCCTTAGTTGTCCCTCATCTTTTCTGATTGTGTTCTCTAGATGTGGTCCTGGGATCTTTGTAGACAAATGGCCCAGGACAGAATTTGGAGCTTATAGTGAGTGATGTATGGTCTCTTCTTGCCTCCTACCTATCAGGAGCACAGCCAGGACACAGATGCGGAGGACGGAGGCTTGCAGTAAGCAGGTACGGCATCCTGATGGGCAAGGGTAGAGAAGCAGTGACGTGGAGGTTGCCCTCTTCCTGGGTTGGGCAGAAAGTGTCATGAAGCTGACCTGGCAAGTTAGTACTGTGCCCAGGAATGGCCCCTTCCATATCCAGTCATCCTGCCATACCCCTTTGTGGTGGGGGTGCAGCAGGCTGAGAAAGCAGTTGTGATGGATGGGCTAGCAGATTGTGATGGATGGGCTGCCTGGCACTGGTTCTTCAGCACACTGCAAGCCATGCTACCTATCTCTATCCTGGAGGAGCTCCTACTCTGGTGGAGGAAGAAACATACTATTACCACTCAGCATGATCAGGAGCCCAAGTGGTGGAAGAGATTATGTGTAGCTGAGCCTGCTCTTTGTTGAAGGAGAAGCATTCTCTACCAAGGGAATAGGCTTAGCAGAGGGACAGAGCTGCAGTAGTCCCCAGTATGTGGAGAGGCCATGAGCTTCCTGCAGCTGTAACCCCAGCTCTGCTTGGTAGGAAGGAGGCTCTGCTCATTACCAGAGGGTGACGATTATGAAGGCCCTTAATGTGCTAGGCTTAGGGGCTTGGACTTGGTCGTTTCATGGGGGAGGAAGCTGTGTGGCAGGAGCTGGACTTCATTTATTTGATTTCTTTTGCAACTCCACAAGGTTATGATTGTGCCGATGTACTTAGGGGTATGGGAAGGTACCCAATGTCTTACAAGATCCCAAAATAATAAGTGATAGAGCCTAACTGTGAACCCAGTGATGTGTGGCTTCAAAGCCCATTCTCTGGCCACAGTTTGCCACCCTATTCTGCCCTCCCCTAGATGGAACCCAGGCCATACCTAGCCTTGCCTACTCTCTGACCTATTCCCTCAGGGTCATGTTGGAGTAAAACAGCCTTGGGTGCAGGAAGGTCCAGGGAGGTATCTTGATATAGGACACTTTCATGCTATAAAATGCCCCACCAAAAAGAGCTTCTAGATAAGTTTAGGACAGTCTGCATATGTATACATAATTTTCTCCTCCTGGACTTCATGACTTAACCTGGGAGGCTTAAGTTTTATCTTGTTAAGCTAGTTCTTAGGTGAGTTATTGAGACTCTGGTGGAGGCTCAGGAAAGGGGAGCCAGTGTGTAGGTATAGCTCTGTGTATGTGCAGACATCATCCCACTCTTTCCTCTTCCCTGTACCTGTTACCAGGAGCACTGGGGTTTCTTCTTCTCAGTCTTAGTCTCCTTTGTCTCTCTCTCTCTCAGCCTGACAGGAGCAATGGCCACCAACAGGAGAAATGCATCACTGCCCCAGGCCTCAAGCTGGGCACCTACCCTGGATGCCACCCCCCAGCGGGTACCAGAGGAGAGCTGGCAGCAGGCACCTCCTCCCCCACGCATCCCAGCCAGTGCCACATCCTCTCCAGGTGGAGTTTCCAGCCAACCCCTTCCCTGTGCACCCTCCCTGTCTGCCCTGTCCAGTTCAGAGGGCAGAGCACAGGAGTTTCCCCACACTCTGCCTCCCCAGGATACTCCTAAACTTGGGGTTTTTCTATAGGTTTGGAGGAGGGGCCCATGGGGAGGGACCCTGACAATAAAGAGATTGGATCCTAACCTGCTCTGATACAGGATGGTTTGTGTTTTTTCACAAAGGTATCCTGGCCCTTCTGTTGACCAGAAAGCTGGTCTGCTGTACTCCTGTCCTCACCTCCCTTCATTCCTTTGTACGAGGGAACATTGTTTAGGTACCTAATACTGATCCATTTGGGCCTTAGTTCCCTCAACTAAAATGGTGATAAAAATGTCTAGTAGAGCTGTTGAAAGGCTCAGAGGTGTTGGTGCCCAGGAGCACCTTGCTGGCTGAATTGTCAAAACACTTGTTACTTGGTCACCAGTAGAAAGTTGAGGCCTCATGTCTTTCCTTAGCTTCTCATTAAGTCTGGTCTGTTTTTCCCTCTCTTTAAATGATTTCTGGAAATCCACCACTTCCTCCACCTTCTCTTTTCCTGGTTTTCTCTTTGTCCTCTCACCAGCCTCTTAGTCTCTAGCTTCTCCCCTATGTCATTCCCCAGCAGCCACCACCACCACCATGATCACAGTGTTCTTTCTGAAACATATCCCTTCCCTGTATAAAAACTCTTCACTGAGCAGAACAAATCTACCTCCTGAGTGTGAGGTCCAATATCCTGCTTGCTCTGGCTTCTCCAATCTCCTCCCTCCACCCTTCTTTCTGGCCACATACAGACCCTGTACCTTAGCCTCACAAATATCCAAGTTCTTCACAATCTGGGCAGTTTGGGTAGCAAGGAATAGAGACACCACCACCACCACCACCACCCCCACACAACACACACCTGGTGACCTCAAGCATAAAGCAGAAGGAAGTTTGCCTCAGGATTCAGAGGGACTGTCTGCCCTTGTCTTGGTCCACTTATCTAAACAATTGCTCACACTTGAACAACTATCCAGGTTCCTTCTAACTTCTGCTTCTTCACAGCTTCTACATGGCCCATTGTGTCTTTCTAACTCACTCTCTTCCCTTTATTCTCCACAATGAATTGATAAATTTTCTTCATGTTCAGTTTCCCAAAAGAGAATCAACTGCCATAGCAGATTATTTTTGAGTCACTCTTAGGTTACAAGTACCCATCTGTTCCAGGGAGCTGGGAGATAATAAATGTGGCCACATACGCTGGTCTCATTGATGTGGGGCTGTAGGAGGGTAACATCTAGAAGCCTAGAACTTACATCTCTGTTCCCCTTGCTACTTTCCCCACCTGGGAAATAGCATGAAGCGGCAGCTCTAGTTGAAAGCACGTCTGAGAAGTCTTCCAGACCAGGTGATGGCTCTTCAGCAACTGCTCATCCTTTCCTTTGGGCAGCCTTCCCCCAAAACAGGGAATTGAACCTCATCATCAGAAGGGGGTTTGGGTTCATTCCCTCCATCTTTACATGTTCCTCAAAGTTTGCAGGCCTGCTGGATTTCTTTTTATTCTTCTTCTTTTTTTTTTTTTTTTATTAAATCATAGC